GCACATCAAGTCCTGCGCGTCGAAGTGCCAATCTGGGTGGTCGGCAAGGAGCTTTTGCTGCGCTATCTCCACCGTGCTGATGACCACGTCAGCTTGCAAATTCTTCCCAGCGGTGGTGTTCTTGTAGTCAGCCAGAAGGAGCCGGGCTTTCTTCAAGTCCCGGTGGTAGCGCCTGCTCGTCTTTCGCTGCTTCTTACCGGCTCCTCCAGTTCGGCCACGGTCTCGCGAAGGGAGTTCCTCTCCGCGTTCAGGGCGTCGCGCTCTCGGGTCAGGGCGTCCTCCCTCTCACGGAACGCCTTCTCCTCCTCCGCCTTCGCCTCTAGTTGTGCGGCGTAATCCGAGACCTTCTTCTGCGCCTCCTCACAGGCCGAGCTCAGCTCGACCCGTTGCTTGTCCGCGGCCTCCAGGTCAGCTTGGAGGCGCGTGGCGGTGATCTCAGCATCCGTGCCCTGGCGCCCGATCTTGTCCACCTCGCGGGTGTTGGCCTCGCACAGGAGCATCATCTGAATGGCAGAGCGCATTGAAAGGAGTTAGAGGAATTCAGGCAACTAGGAATGGGAATTGGGCAGCGTAAAAGGAAACTTACTTGCGCAGTCAGATTGGTCATCTTGCGCCAGGGCTTGTCGGTCACAAGGTTGGCCGGGTGCTCGACCACGTCGTACTGAGAGCGCGCCCATTGAACGGAGGCGCCGGGGTCCTTCGCCGCCTTCACTGGTACGCCCACGGCGACCTTAGTAAGGGGGCGCCTGGGAGGCTGAAGGTACGGAGGAATCTCCTCGCCAGTATGTGGCCCGATGGTGGGCGCCACAAAGCTAGGGGGAGCCCCGACGCGCTCGCCTGTGACTCCTTCACCCGTTTGGCGGGAGGAGCTCGGTCGTCGCCGGACCTCTTTCGGGGAGATGGACGTGACACCCCCTCATCCTCCTGGGGCGCCGACTGCGAGGCGGGGGATACTGGAGACCTCGGGCGCTCCAGCACAGTTGGGCTTGTACGGTGACTGGCTCGGCCAGCGCCTGAGCTCCCGGTTGGAGAGCTACCATGCGCCCCATCGGAAGCGCCCGAAGCCCGGGGGGAGGCAGTAGCCTTCCCCTTCGATTTTATTCGGATGGTCCGCCTCTGAGGCGCCGAGGCGGAAGGCCTCGGAGAAGCAGGCGCCGAGGGGGCAGGCGAGGCGCCCTGGCCGATCCCCAGACGGGATCGGATGATGGATGATACCGAGGTATAATCAGTGCCTGCAAAAAGAAAAGAGAGTGGAGGCAACAATTAACAAGTCAGTAGGGTGCGCCTAAAAAAAAAAAAAAAAAAGGAGAGGCGCATGTCAAGACAAGACAGAGCGCACGCGCTTGAGTACCATCTTGATAGAAATCAGCTAAGTGCTGCACGTAAGCATCGTCATCCGACAGGTCGAATGGCTCCTCGGAGAGGCACGCAGCACTGGCCAACTCCGCCTCAGTCAAGGAAGCAGGCTTATTGAAGTACTTGGGCGTCCCTAGCGCCCACTGTGTCAAGGCGGGGCGCCCGCTCGCGAAGAAAGGCGTTTCTCGGGAGCAAACGAAAAAATAAGAATCAAACCACGTGCGCCCCAACTTCTGACAATCCTCAATGAAGTGGTAGCCTATTTTCTTGCGCTTGTGGAGTATGAGGCAATTCTTACTCCGTCTCATCCGGAAGAAGTGATTGAAGAGTTTGAAGGTGGGCTCGATGCTCAGCCGCTGACACTTAAGGCGGAAGAGAATGGAATATAATATGACCGCGGGTGAGAGGCGCCCCAGCGAACACCGGCACGAGTCAAGAACCCCTTCAAGGACGGGGTCGAGGGGAAAGCGCAGCCCGAATCTCAGGTACTCTTGGTAGACCCCTACCCAACCGGCGCCACAGTCGCCTATCCGCGCTGCACGAGGCGCATGGGCGTATTGCCACGGCGCAGGCATCTGAGCGGCTACCAACAATTTCTCGAGGCGCACGCGCACGAGCTTCGACGGATGTTTCGGGCCCACCGATTCCAAGGGCAACCCGGCTACGTCGTCAGGCGCTTGCCCCGAGGCCCAAGTAGATTCCCACGAACGAAACGCATAACTTTGCGATGCGTCAGGGCCGGGGGCAAAGACAGGATTAGGCGAGGAATACGAGGGGGAACAGGTCACACGAGGCGTACTTAAAGTTGGGCTCAAAGGGATTAGGCGCACAGCAAATAAGGGAAGAAGGCGCATAGGAACAGATTAAGGCGTCTAATCTTCGCAACATAAAAAAAAAAAAAAAGCGCATTGGGGGCAGATATCTTACGTCGAGTCTCGGCGGCCGAAGAAGTGGGGGCGCCTGAGCGCGAGGTCGCAGGCGCACCGGCGGAAGGCGCTGAGCGCGAGGCAGCAGGTTCTTGGGAAGAGGCCATTGGTGGTGAGCACGTCGGGGCTGGAGAGCAACTAAGGAAGGCGCAAAAGAGGGGCGAATGGCCGTTTCTAGTGAGAGAAAGAAGAGAGAGGTCAGAACTTTCTGAGGAGAAGTGAGGAAAAAAGTGAGGGGGGAGAGGCGAATATATAGTGGAAGGGGGAAGCTCAAGAGTCTCAGTGTTAGCCCGTTTTGAATTCCGAATTTCGAAATTCGAAATTCGAAACGGCCTAGGGGGAGATAGGGGGAAGCTCAAGAGTCTCACAGAGTAGGGGAAGCCCAGGGATCTCGCGATGGGATAGGGGAGAAGTCCAAAGGTCCCGGAGGGAAGGGGGTGGATCCCGAGGATACCTTGATAACATGCAAAAGGTGGGTGCTGAAGGGTCCGCAGCATTAGAAAGGATCAACAAATCGCGAAGGATGAAGTCCGGGAGCAAGGCGCGCGGAGAGCTAACAAGGCGCGTCGGAACTAGGGCGGATAGCAAGAAAAAAAAAAAACCAAGGAATCATGAAGGCAAGGGTCTGGGGGCAAAGCGCATGGGATGCGAACAGGGCGACTCGAAGCAAGGGCGGACGCACTGTCTCCGAGGGCGCCTGGTAAAAGTCCATGTCTAAGGAACACAATGTTCCAGCTAGGCGCCTTGGAAGAAGCCCTAGGCGCCTAGCTGGGGGGGCAATTGTTGGGGATGTATGCATGACCCGCGTGGGCTGGACCAATATGGCCCAAGAAGAGAGATTGGAAGGCTGAGGGATTGGGCCCAGCCCAATGGGCCCAGGGACAAGGGAAAAGTCGGCCCATGGACAAGGAAGAGCCTCCCCAGACGGGTGGGGCCACAACCCTGACACGAGGCGCGTGCGGCAGGTAGCCACAGGGGAGTCCCAGAGTACGGGTTTGGGTACTAGCTGACGTCATGCGCCTGACCCTTCTGAACGGGGTGTCAGATGGTCGAGGCGCATGGGCGCTTGGCCGTACGGAGCATTAATTGTGGGTCTGGCAAGGGGCGGAAGAGAGGGATGTTGGTCGGCCGGGCTTCGGGTATAAATAGTCGGTTGGTGAACCTCATTTACTCAGGTTGGCACTTCTCTCTAAAATTACTATTCACTTCTCTCTCTAGAAAAGGTAACTGACTTGGGCGTTGGAGTGCTAACGAGTCCTCCTCGGGACTCAGGTTAGTCGTGCAGCGTGCAGGTCCGAGCGTGCCGGAAGGGTCAAGCGCGAGGGTTCGGGACGCCTAGTTACCGGGCTCGAACATACCCAAACCCGCATGAGAAAACTGGTAAAAAATTAAAACCATGTCCATACTCATTCGGGTTTCGGGTATCCACGGTTATTCATGGGTAATAATTTATCTTTATAACTCCAACCAATATGTTAACATTGTCATTCACACGTATACTCACATTACGTAAGAGAAAAAGTACGACAATAATTTGCTAGAAGGAAGAAAATTAATTAAAACAACACAATTTCATAAAAATATTTTATTTATATGCTAAATATAAAATATGTTAGAGAAAACTAATGATTATTTCTAGAAAAAATACATATGCTTGTGTATAATCGGGTGGGTTCGGGTTGGATAGTGAGAAAACCATGCCCACTCATTACTCGCAATATTCGGGTTCGAGTTTTATCCGTACCCACTAAAAGTCTTTCGGGTTCGGGTTTTACCCTACCCGATTAAGTCAGAATCAAATGGATATCCACGGTTAGGGCTGAAATTTGGTACCGGTATTTGTGATATACCGAATTTATCATTATTTGGTATTATCGAATACCGACCTATATTTTAGGGATCGAGATTCATTTTGGAGTGCTATTCGGTATTCGGGATTAAGATCGGTATATAGTATATACCAAAATATCGAGAAATACCGAAAATTTAAAATTAATGAAATATAACACACAACCTTTGGTCATTTCTCACTCTTTCATAACTTAGAAGCCTCCATCCAACTCAATTTTTTGACTTTCTAGTTTAAGTCACTCTCGTCCTCGTCTCTCACATAATCTTTTGTTATTTTCATAACACTAAAAAGTACATTATTATTAGTCATCTCTCAACCTCCAATTCGTCAAATTAAAAATTACCAATGACAAGAATTTGAGATGTCACTTCTTCTCCATTCACCTTATACACATTCTAGCTATAGGAAAACTCAAGACTCTTTGCTTAGTTTCTTTGTCCTAAATTAAACAATAAAATATAATTTGTATATTAATTACTAATTACGAAGGTAATTAATTTTGTAGTCAATAATACCGATTGGGATACCGAAGTACCGATTGAGATACCAAAATATTTAGGGATTGAGATTGGGATACCGAAATTATTTAGGGATTGGAATTGAGATTGATTTTAGATTGTAATTCGGTATTCGTTATTTGGTATTTGGTATTGAGATACTGATACCGTACATATTTCCACCCTTATCTACGGTTAGGGATATTTTTGCCTTCCCAACTAAATTGAGAAATCAACCAAAAAAATAAATGAGAAAGATCGGTTCGGGTAGAGTCGAGGCAGGCCGACACTGAGAATAAAGCGAAATCTGGGTCGTGATTGGTCTTCCAACAAGAGGTTTCTTTTTATTTTTAGCAGTTCAAAGGAGCAGGGGAACCCTCAAAACGAACACCCACTTGACCCTATCTGCCGTGATTTTCTTCATATAGTTGTCTCCATTGAAGGTACCTGTTTCTTCCTCCTTCGAGCTTCGATCTGTCTTGGGTTTTGCCGCTCTGTCTTTTCTCCAAAATTTTCGGCTTCATTTGATCTTTAGATTATTGAATTGTGCTTGTGTTTGTCATTTCTTTTTTTAGAAAGATTTTGTAATTTATTGGCCGGCTGGAGAATCAGTCGGTTTGTGAGAGCTGAAATGAAATAAGACTTTTACTTCTCTCTTCTTGGTTTTAACTTGATGTTTTTTCTATTTTCCATTAATTTAGACGACTGGGTAGAAACTTAAAAAAAAAGAGTAGAAACTTACCTATTTTCAAGCTTGTAGTTATGAAGGTGGTAGAATTCAGCTGGTTGACTTTTTTAAGGATCTGGAAATGAAATGAGCTGAAAGAATCAGCCGGTTTGTGGGAGCTGAAATGAAATGAGACTTATACTTCTCTCTGACTTCCATCTTCTTGGTTTTAACTTGATATTGTTTCTATTTTTTTCATTAATTTAGACGACTTAGTAGAAACTTACTTCCAAAAAAAAGTAGAAACTTACCTATTTTCAGGCATGTAGTTGTGAAGGTGGTTGACTGTTTTAAGGATCTGGGAGCTTTTTTATTGGTTGCACTGGTTCATGGGCTTTGTTGATTGGGCTCGTGATTGGTTCACTAATGGGTCGATAGGTTTGATGAACCTTTCATGTTTCTGTGTCTGAACAAGTCGTTGGTTGTAGTTTGATTTCTCTTCATCTGAATTTATATCTTGTTTCTTCGGAAGTATGGTTAAATTGGTGATGCTACTTTAGGAAATGAGTTTCGGGAGTTGAATTTCGGGAGTTGACATGTAGATATGAGATGCTAGTCTAGCATTGTTCTGTTATGCGATTCATGTTTGATGAGGGCAATATCTCGGTCCATAAGCTAGTCTGTAGAATGAGTTGAGAAAGAAATTGTCTTCTGTGAGATCAAATTCATTGATATGCAGAGCTTAGCTCCACAAATAGGAAAATTGGAAAAGAATCAAAGAGGAAATGCATCCAACATATCATATTCTGTAACTCTCTATCCGAGTTACGAATTCTCTTTAGTAAGAGAATTATAGTTGTGGATTCCTGTTGCACATTGTCCATGGTGGAGTTGGCGGAGAAAACGAGTAAATTAGTGGTAACATGGTTTCTGCTAGGAGGTCTGAAGTATGATTTTGGAGCCACAACCAATGTCCTCTCATATTATTAGTTAAGTTTTTATGCCCCATCCAGAGCCCATGGTTGCCCATCCTATGCGCACTCATCAAGCTATATGGCTAATTGATTCAAAGTTTCGTCCCCCATTAGTTTCTAATGTAATGTTAGCTTGTTGGTTTTACGCCTGTGTGTGCTGCAAACTGTTTCTTACCTGCCAATGGATTACAATAGTCATCAGTTTGACAAATCACCAACTAGAATCACCACTTCCCTCCTTCCTACCCAAACTCTTTCTTTGGGCAGTTCTTTTGTTTTTTGAGTTCTATGGTCTTTCTCGATGTTTGAACTTTGTAGGATGATGATTGTAAAATTTTTTCTGGTTAGGGGATTTGCAAACATTACTTCGCAGGCATTTTTTGGTTTGCCCTGCATTGAAAGAAGATCTGTTTTCTCTTTAGCCAATGAGCATTGATGTTAGCTCTTCTTATGCATAAACTTACAAGAGTGTGGAGTTGTGGTCAAGGCGGGTCTTTTGTTTTTTTGAGTTCTATGGTCTTTCTGGATGTTTGAACTTTGTAGGATGATGATTGTAAAATTTTGTCTGGTTAGGGGATTTGCAAACATTGCTTCGCATGCATTTTTTTGGTTTTCCCTGCATTGAAAGAAGATATGTCTTCTCTTTAGCCAATGAGCATTGATGTTAGCTCTTCTTATGCATAAACTTACAAGATTGTGGAGTTTTGGTCAAGGAAGGTAAATCCATACTATTATCATGATTAGTCTATCACCTTCTATTCGAACTATTGATGCTATTATGGCCTTCATGGGCGAATTTCTATGATTGCCCTGTTTTTGCCTTGTACATGCGCATGCCTGCATGTGGCAATTCTGCAGTAGGATTTAAGAGTTTATTGTAGTACCATATTATGATTTTATCATACTTGTTTTAACCATGTGGAATTATCTGTACGAAGTACGGCATGCTATCGTCGTTACCATTAAATTCCTCTTAAGGTGCACTCTATGTTTATGTTAATTTATCTGTTTATTTCTTTGTTAGATACGCTTTGATCGTGTCAGTGACTTGTAACTCTGATGGAGATATCTCTGTTGAAGGCGCTTCTCAATAATATCTCCTCCTTTTCTCATCTATCATCCTTTGAGAATGTGATATCCGGTCTAGCCCAAAAGTATTTTCAGAAGACAAGAGATATTGAAGCTTCTAAAGCATATACTTGATTCCGTTGTTGATTGTGAAATAGATTCCAATGAGATGCTCAATAAAGCTTTTGCAGAGCTGGGTCCATCTATCAATGAACTCAGGGAGCTCTTCGTAAACTGACAGCCATTATCAAGCAAAGTCTTTTTGGTGAGTTCCAATGCCTTTTCTTCTGTATAGAGTAAATGGTAACTTGTCTCTTGAAATTGTTAAGTTGAGTAACTTAGCTGGCGTTGTAGGTGATAACATCCGCATGGTCACTGCTGATAGCATGCTCATGGTTAGTGCATCTTCAACTGAGATGTTTGATGTTAGTTTGTCTGAGATTTTTCATCTCTCACTAATTATGATATTTGTGATAAGTCCAGAGGGAAAATCTAGTCTTTTTGTGTTCCTAATGTTTCTGAGGGGTGTGTATGTCACTATGTATGCTTCGGTGGTGGAATGTTCCTATCATTGCACTATTTTCATGTTTCTTCCTTCTGTACATGTGCAATGGAGTTACTTTTATGGTTTCTCTCCATTAAGTATTATTGATTTGCAATGATCTTCTCTGTTTTCTTCTACCTCTCCTTAAATCATCTAGTTGTAATTTATTAAAATTAATGGCATCAACTTTGGCATTGAACGCCATCTTACTAGTTACTTTTATTCATTATACAGGCAATAAAGTATGTGACGATCTGCCTAATCATCTTTGTGTTTTGTTCTGTAGGTTCTTCAAACTGAACCATTGTTGTCAAAGATCCGAAGTTTGGGCCTGGATATTTTTCAGTTCTTGAAATCTGCCAATGATCATCTTCTTGAAGAATTGAGTTTGTCGTATATTGAGGTACCTTTCTCTTGCATACTTCATGATTTTTTTTTACTAGGTATTTTGGTAAAATTATTATCAATGCTGCCATTGAGATGAAAAGATTACATGTTTTGTTTCCTCATGATGTCTAATAATCTGGCACAACTCTCTGTAGTACTGCACATAGAAATTGCAGCAAATGGGACTGGAACAAGCATCATATACTCTTAAAGAGTTCTTTAAGGATCAAGAGGAAGGTGTTGTTACAACTGACTCTGAAATCTTGGTCAAAATTGCTGAGAGTCTCAGCTTGAGAACTAATCAGGAGATTCTTTTAGAAGCTGTGGCACTTGAAAAGTTGAAAGAGATTGCTGACCAAGCAGAAAAAGGTGGGGAAGTTGAGTTTTTCGATCAACTCATTGTTCTTGTAACCATGATGCACACTCGCTTTCTCCTTATCAAACAGTCCCAAACCAGTAGCCCTGTCCCAATACCACCTGAATTTTGTTGCCCTCTCTCACTTGAGTTGATGACAGATCCAGCTATTGTGGCATCAGGGCAGAACTATGAACGGATGTTTATAAAAAACTGGATCGAACTTGGACTCACTATGTGCCCCAAGACACGACATACTCTGGCTCACACTAATCTCATACCTAACTACACTATGAAGGCCTTGATTGCAAATTTGTGTGAATTGAACAATGTTAAGTTGTCAGTGCCTGTTAAGTCTGTGCAGCCCTCACCGGCAGAACCACCTTGTTCTCTGAGCTCGTCTGGCCCAATTTTGGTGTCATCCAATGGATTTCTTAGAGATGGAAGTTCTCCTTTACATCCACGTTCTACTTCCGAGAGTTCTTTATTAGGCATAGTTGCAAATGGCCAGGGTATAGATATTGCTCGTATATCATTGACGGGTTCTGAAGAAAGTGCTGCTCACTCTGAGGAAAGGCTTATTGATTCTATTGCATCACCATCAAGAATGGAGGAAGTTTCTGAATCTGTTGTTGCAGCTGATGAGTTCCCCCTTTCTATGAGGAGCCATGGTAGAAGTGCATCTGCTGCAAATGCTTCTTCTCCTAGAAGATCATATGGAGACGATGCTAGTGAGTCTTTGGATGTGCCCAATCATCTTATTACTTCATACAATAGTGACACATCTGGGGAAGTAAAAGCCGAGATGCAAAGGCGGTTTCTTCTACTGCTACATCAAACAGCTCTCTTCACAGAGAATCCCAATTCTCACCTCGTTTTGTTGAGACCCGGTCTCGAAGTCAGCTACTTTTGTAACGTCCATCTGACAGGCTTCTGCCACGGATAGTTTCTTCTCATACAACTGAAACAAGGGATGATCTCTCTGGCTTGGAAACCCAAGTCAAGAAGTTGGTTGAAGATTTGAACAGTGATTCAATTGATATGCATAGAGAAGCAACAGGTCAGCTTAGATTACTTGTGAAACACAATATGGATAACCGAATTGTGATCTCCAACTGTGGGGCCATTCCCTTGTTGGTCAACTTGCTCCGTTCAACTAACTTGAAGATTCAGGAAAATGTTGTCACAATACTTTTAAACTTGTCGAACAACGATAAAAATAAAACTGCGATTGCTAATGCTGACGCCATCGATTGCTAAAACTGCGATTGCTAATGGTGGACAAAGCAGTGGCTGTTTTGGCGAACCTTGCAACAATTCCTGAGGGAAGAAATGCGATTGGTTAGCAAGGAGAGATCCCTGTTTTGGTGGAAGTTGTTGAGTTGGATTCTGCCAGAGGGAAAGAGAATGCAACTGCTGCTCTTTTGCAGCTTTGCACTAACAGTAACAGGTTCTGCAACATGGTGCTTCAAGAAGGTGTTGTGCCGCCATTAGTGGCGTTGTCACAGTCTGGCACTCCCAGGGCTATAGAGAAGGTAAAACTGTTTTGGTTTTTTCCTTTTGAATTTTGTTTGGCATAGATGCTAAAATAAGCAAACTTTTTCCTTATCACTTCTGAATTCCGATAACAACTATCTCGAAACTCTCATTCCTTCATATTCTAGATATAGTACCTATAATTTCATCGGTTGCTTTTCTATGATAAACAAATGCATCATAGTCCTATGTCGAAACTCTCGTTCCTTCTTCTCTTAGTGTCGATCGCCTAGGAAATGCTTTTGACATATGATTTAAGTTTTTGGTGTGATGGTTTCCAGGCGTAGTCACTTCTTAGCCATTTCAGGAACCAACAACATGGAAACCCGGGTAGGAACTGATATGTTCAAGTATAGTGAGTCAAAAGGGGCCATTGCCCATTTATGAGGTTTTGATTCGGGATAAAAGCCATGTACATAGGGTGTGTACATTTATTATCATGAAGGTGCAAATAATGCAGATGATCATCTCGCTGATTTAGATAAGTTTTGATTTTAGATAGATAGTAAACAAAATCGATTTATTGGATGACTTGATTATGTCGTTTTTAAGTGGAATTGAAGTTGTTAACATGTTAATTTGGGAAATGAGTATATATCTGGTTTTACGTTTACTCCTATTAAATTCCAGAAACAGTCGACGACAACTATGACCATTTCGACCAAACATGTCTTATAAGTGGCTTTTTGCAACACTTCAAATGTGTTGTAATAAGTGTTCAAAGTGTTGCATATGTAATATGCAACACTTTTACTAGTGTCCTCTATAGATGGTGTTGTATAAAGTAATAGGTAACATTTTTCTTACTTTTGGTAACGAAAAAATAAGTGTTGTATATATATACCGCTTATACAACACTATTTTAGACAACACTTAAATAAATTACACAACACTTTTTTACGAGTATAACCAACATGTATATACTTTATTAGTGACGATTTGATCGTCATATAAGATGTACCCAATCGTGACAACATACTTTGTTACAAATATTATACATTTGTGATGACTTCATGTGGACATCGATGTATTTCAACGACTACCACTTTAAATTGTCACAAATGTGCCATTTTTCATACTGTATTTTGTCACAAAATAGGGTTTTGTGATCGTATTGTAGTCACAATATCATGCTTCTGTGACAAAGATATTGTTACTGCTGCAACAACATTAATGATGAACTCTTTTTTTGACACAAATATTATGCATTTGAATATAGTATATTTATTACAATAAAGAGGACTTGAGTTATCACAAATAGTTACTATTATTTGTGACCACAATATTGTCATATATACCGCACAGACCATTGACCAAGAACTACACTAAAAAACATACACATCATATACTTTATATTTCCATTCCTCCCCTATTTACTTTGCAAAACCAATACGAGAAAACAAAAACAAAATACACAATGAATATGCCAAGATTAACCGTACGTAGATTAACTTTTCCTATAGTTGTGATTCATAATCAATCACAGATTTGATGAAGACCAGGTCATGCTTATGATATCTTAAGCCATAAGAAATCATGCTTTTGAGTTGGAAGGGACACAATGTGGTGTGGGGTAGAATTAGCACCAGCCAACCTTCATCTTGTCTCTCATCTGATGTCATTTCTTGTGTCAGATTCAACGTGAGCTTCATACAAACTCATTCGTGATCAATAGAGTCTAGCAAGGGTGACCTCCTGCTTGCAAGTATGTTGTCATTGGCCATACTTCCAAAGCCATCAGCCATAAAAGAAGAGCAGATGCAGTCCCTTGTATAAATCCCTGAAATTTATTGATTTAACAATGTCTAATTAACACTTCTAATAAATACTATGAACTAATTTCATAAAATTAAGGACAAGTAATTGCCTATAGAAAACAAAGCCTATCTCTTAAATTATTTTTTTTCGTTTGCATTATAAAATGTTGTAACGAGAGTTCTAGTTAGTTTGAAATTGATATACATGATTGATATTAAAATATTAGTTAATAATAAGTATCAAATCGATATTGTATGTAACATTTTTTATTAAGTGTTGCCTAAAATATAAGAATATGTAACACAATACAAGTGTCACATATTATACGAATATGTAACAAAAATTATTGTGCTCCTAATTTGTGTTGCATAAGATATATATTAGGCGACACAATGAAAGTGTTGTCTATATTTATTTTATGTGACATTTTTTTGAAAATGTTGCAGGATGAGTGTTGCGTAAAGCCACTTTTTCCGTAGTACCTGATTTGTTTGACTTGTTTTGGGCGGGTAATACTCTTTCCGTACGCAGGACGGGTCAAGTATGAATATTGGCACGTCACGGTGCAATCATTTTTGAATGGGTAAATGCCACATTTGGTCACTGAGATTATTAAATCGTGTCATTTTTAGTCACTAGAAAATTTAATATCAATTTTGGTCACTCGAATTACAGGTCAATGGAGTTGGACGAAAACTTACAGGGGAGTGACTAAATGTGACCTGTTTCAGTAATTCGAGTGACTGGAGTTGGACGGAGGCTAACGGGAGAGTGACTAAATGTGAATTGTTTCAGTAATTTGAGTGACCATAAATTTTCCTAGTGACTAAACATGACACGATTTAATAATTTTAGTGACCAAATGTGGCATTTACCCATTTTTGAATTGTTTTTGTCTAAGTTAAGCGTTTACGTGAATTACTAGGATTTTACTTGTATTACTATTATCTCATATATTAGCTATAATAAAAATTTAAATATGTGAAGAAGTCAATTTCTTTAATAATTTAATTATATTTATCATGTTATAGTTTGTTTCATGATTTTTAGTGTTTTCTTTTTTAATTACATGCCAATATGACTAATGAGGGCTTGGTCTAGTGGTAATACCACTAGTATTGAACTTGGGGATCCGAGTTCGAACCTCTTCAATAGCACCTAACTATAACAATCAACTTGTGCCACTTAAAAAAAAAACACTAGTATGGGTTGACCTGTTTCAATCGCATTTCATGATGAATTACCTGGCCTGGCACGAGTCTGTATGAGTATCGAGATCCCCCCCCTCGCCCTCCACGCAAACAGAATCATTGTCATTCCTGGTTGGTGCATGATTTTAGGACTTGTTCTCGCTCAACAACAACTAGAAATGACAATGGGTTGACTCGGGGGCAATTTGTTTCATTTGGACTATAATGGACCTAAATACACTTTAATAATTTTGGGTTTGAGTTGGGTTTAAATTGGATCTAATTTTAGTCAATTCATTTGGATCAGACTCAAATGGATCTATCTTTGTCCAGATGATTGTAAAAAAAAAAATATTAACCATCTCCTTAAATACCTTCAACACAACCCTGTTATACCTTTAATGTTGATGATTTAACCTTTATGTTTGTTTCATAACAAAAAATAAGAGAAAATTGAATTATAATTGTATTCATTTTCTTTTCGATTTTCATTGATATGAATCCAATTTAGATTCAAATTAAAAAGTTGGATATGTGTTTGTCTCAAAAGTCATGACTAGTAATAAGTTGGTTTGGACAACATCCAAATATTGGGTATGTTTTGCCATCTTTTAACAACTACTAATTGTGAATCTACAAAATCACTCAATAATAAAGACAATGCTCTCATCTTCGACACTGAAATTCTAACCTGGTGCCAAACCCCAACCTTTTAGGTTGACGCTGGACTCGATTGCCACTCCTCTTTGCTCTGGGCATTGCGCTAGCTTTGATTTGACCATATCGCACGACTCGACCGAGGACAAACATATGAAATGATCACAAATTGCTACCAGATGGCGCCGGTTCCGACACAACCCTCGTTTTAAGATAAACCAACGACTCCCAAGATTACAACTCTGATGCCTCCCTCTGGTCCATACAACGCCACCAATGCTATGGTGCTACCCCCAGTTTCCTATACTATGGCAGTTTCAGGTGCTATTGCTACTGCCGCCCAATCCTCGCTTCAATCGACACCGATTGGTGACCATGATATAATTCTTGGCTCCTTCAATGGAGAACCTGAGATGAGAGTATCTGATAGCTTCAAATCCAAACATTGTGCCCAGTGGCAATGAACGCTAGTCGTCCATCTCTTCGGCTATCAAATTGGCTTCTCTATTCTATGTTCTCGGCTCACGACACAGTGGTGGCCAACAGGCTCAATGAAAATTCTTGATTTGGACCATGACTATTATCTCGTTCAACTTTGCAATGACCAGGACTATTTCAAAGCTATCATAGTGGGTTCCTAGGTAATTTTTTATCCCTATCTGGTGGTTCAACCATGGACCCCTGCTTTTCGACTATTGGAAACACTCCCCAAATTCATGATGGTTTTGGTGCAACTACTATCCCTGCCAGTCCAGTTCTATCATAAGGAGGTCATATCTTCTCTTGGTAATCTAATCGACCGCATGATTAAACTTGATTATCTTACGCTTCACTATAAAACGTGCCAATTTTTATGAATTAGCTGTTTAAGTAGATCTCTTCAGGTCGGTGGTTCCTCAAATTAGATTAGACGGGGGCTGACAGAAAGTCGAGTATGAGAACCTACCAGCGCTTGTTTCAAGTGCGGAGAAGTTGGTCATACCTCAAACTTGTGCCTGACTCTTTACCGCAACATGCAACCTAAAGCTTAGTTTTGATGGACGGATAGTTGCGGCGAAGTTGCAGCCTCACGGAGAGAACCGGCTACGTGCCATGGATGCAAGTAGGGGTGGCAGTCGGTCGGTTTTCGGTTAAACCGAATCTTCCCCCTGTCTGCCGACCACCGAACGTGAGATATGGCACGGTTAACCGACCACCGACCGACCGGTTTTCGGTTCTGGTTCGGTTATACTACAACAACCGAATTTATTAAAAAAAAAAACCCCCCAAAACCCACCCCACCCACGTTACTTCTCTGCTTCCAAACCCTCTCTCTCCTTCTCTCCTCTCCCTACCACTAAATTCTTATCTTCTTCCACCCTCTCTCTCCTTCTCTCTCCTGCTTTCCTCCAAAAAGAACCACCAGACTACAGAGACAACAACACCCTTCTTCCTTCCCTCTCCTTCCTCCATTTCAAAGCCACAACACCCGACCACCCACCACTCCTTCCTTCCTTCCTTCCTTGCAGATTTAGACACCACGGCGAGATCAATTCCCTGAGCCGAAACCAATATCACGCGGCCGAGATCGAGGGATCTCGTCGGGTCGTCGGTGAGGGCCTCCGCCGCCACCATCAGGAGGTGGACCAATCTCAGCCCTTTCGTGTCCTGTTCTGCTTCCACCTGATCTTCTTCTCCTTCTTCTTGCTCTTCGTGATCGATTACCATCGCCGCCGAGGTGTCGCCGGAGTTGGTTGTGGTGGTCGGGCTGTAATTGTTGAAACCCTCCTCCTCTGCATCCGCGGCGGCGGGCTCCGGCTAGAAGGTCGTGGAAATCGTCGCGGTGGTGGCCGGACAGGACTTCCCAGTCGACGACGTGGGACCAGCCTTGGCTCCAGTGGGAGAAGTCATCCCCGGCGCAAGAGAGGCTGGGATTTGATTACGAAGAAGAAAGAATTAGGGTTGGGGTTTA